CTCTATAAATCAGTTTTTCCTCCATTAAGTGGGTTTATACTCTTTACATCTTAGGGTGACCAAAGAGTGAATGAGATGATCTGTACATAAAAGGGCTAGCACAGCACTTGTCACATAGTAGGGCCTGTGATGGTGGTAGTTAGATTGTCCATGCTGTTGGGATCTCTTAGTATTATTACAGTCTGATGATGATGATGATGATGATGATGATGATGATATTAGTAGCTGATACTTAAATCACACTATGAATGTGTTGGACATTGTTCCAACTGCCTTACAACTATTAGTTCATTAAATCTTTGGACAGTCCTGTGAGGTAGGTGCTACTATTATCCCCTGTTTTATAATGAAGAAAACTGAGAGGTTAAGTAAGTTGGCCCAAAGTCATACAGCAAAATTGCTTGGCCAGGACTTAGGCCAAGGCAATTGGGCCCCAAATTTATGCCCTTAACCACCTGGCTATATTACCTCTCGTATATACCCTTCCTCTCATTACACAGTACGACCTGAAGTTATCAGCCTTGCCTTTCTGAGGGGGAAAATGTGTAAAATACTATAATCTTTCTCTGTGAAATGTCCACTATTCAGGTGAGGATTATGGAGAGAAATGCAGATTTATAAAAAGCAGTTTTCCATTTGGATTTAGATATCAAGTTTCATATGCAGCTTAACCACCCTGCCTTCCCACAGGTTGTTACCCATTGGTTCTTTGCTAAGTTCAGAAGTGGGTTTCCAAATTGTTCTTCAGCTTTGATGGATGAGCAGGGAGTACCCAGGGCAGAAAACATGCGGATTTTCAGTTACTGACTAAACTGAGCATAGACTATTAGCAATATTCCTGAGGAAAGATGGACGGGCCTTCCTGGATGGATAGAAAGATAAGGTGATCACATCTGATCATGTTTTCATAAGAGGCAGTGGTACTACAGTGGACTCAGAATGCAGCCAGAGCATGAAATATTTGGTATGTGTGAATTTTGTTAAAATAAATAGTTTCAGATCATTTTCATTTTGAATGTAGAGAAGTTAAGTGATTCAGATTCTGGATGAATCCACAGATCTACAAAAACCTGTATTTATGGTATAAATTGTGGCCTCTTTATAATTGGCCAGTAATTTATAGTTTGCAGGAGGAAGGAGGGTTCAAGGCAGACAGCTTTAGAGCCAGAAGACCCCCGTGGATTTCATTTCCCCCTTCCTACCTTTTACCTCTGTGATCTTGGGCAAGTTACTTCATCAGCATCCCAATCTGTAAACTGGGGCTAATATGCCTCTGGGGGTTGCTGTGAGGATTCAGTAAGGTAAGGTATATAGCATGCTTGGCACATAATAAGCATGTATTAAATTGAAGTCGTCATTATACTAGGCTTCATAGGACAAAGTCCAAGAAGCTACTTTCAGAAAACTAATTTTAATAGAAATATCTGTAAGATCCAAGAAATAAAATAAATGTCAGATGATGGCATTTGTGGCTTTGAGAGTGGAGCAGGGAGTTGTCTTTAGGGATAAGGGATCCTTCCTGGTACTCCCTGACTCCCTGTTTTCCCTGATCCACGTTTCCCAGGCAGCTGCGAAGACTGGTAGGAAAAAATGTGCAAAGGAGACCGGCCTGAAATTCCTCCTGATGCAGCCAGGCCTTAGTTCCCAGTAATCAGGAAAGTAGTAGCTTATATATAATCCAGCTGTCAGGTAGGCTGACAGCTTGAGAAGCCCAACAGCCTGTGCACTGCTCTCAGAGTACACATGCCAGGGTGCAGGGTTAGCTTCACATGAAAATATGTCTACATAAACAGATCCTGTCTGCTTTTGATTAAATTACTGCATGTGAATGACCCATTGGAGATGCCACAGTGTGTGCTAATTATATAGTAGCCTCAAAAAAAAGGGCATAGTAAGAAATTAGAGAACTTTTAAGTTTATCTGGTGTTTTTAAAACAAAACAACACTTACAAAAGTGGCCTTCATTTATTATAGCAAATTTGAAAAATACAAAAAAACACAAAGGAAAAATAAAAACACTTATTAATTCCACTATCAATTATAACTACCATTCACATTTTAGAAATAACCTCCTAGTCTTTTTTCCTCTATTCCTTTACATATTTTTTTGCTTAGATTTACCTTTTTAAAATTCATACATAATGTTTGTATGTATTTGTGGAGTACACATGATATTTTGTTACATGCATAGAATGTGTAATGTCAGGGTATTTGGGTACCACCTGGAGTATTTGTCATTTCTATACACTGGGAACATTTCATGTCCACTGTTCTAGCTTGTTTTGAAATGTGTAGTACATTGTTGTTAACTGTAGTCACCCCACTCTGCTACTATTTTAAAAATTATAAGTTGTATTTTTATAATTATAATTTAAAATATGCTGTAATTAGCTGCTTTCATAAAGTTAGCATATTATAAATGTTTTGTAAAATTAAATATTTTTGTACCATCACATTTAATATTTTTATGGTATTTCATAATATTTAATCAGTCCCTGTGTTAGACCTAGATTGCTCCCAAATTTGGGCTATTATTTTTTAAAAATTTTTTAGAGATAGGGTCTAGTGCAGTGGCACAGTCATAGCTCACTGCAGTCTCAAATCCCTGGACGCAGGAGATCCACCTCAGCCTCTCCAGTAACTGGAACTACGGGCATGCACCACCACACCCAGCTAACTTAAAAACTTTTTTTTGTTGAGATGAAGGCTCACTAAGTTTTCCCAGGCTGGCCTCAAACTCCTGGCCTCAAGTGATCCTCCTGCGTTGGCTCCTCCAAAGGGCTGGGATTACAGATGTGAGCCACCATACTCGGCCTGAGAAATGAATTATTACAGCTAAACTTTACACCCAGATTTCACTGTAAATTTATAGAAGTGGATGTCAGTGGCTTCTACACACTGTGTTGCTGGGAGGTTTTGGAGATGGGAGCAGTCAGAGATTGTTTTATAGGCCATTGTCTTAGAAAGCAGCCCTCTGGGTTCAGGGGTAACTCCCTTTCCTCTACTAGACTAAGGGGGCCCACAGCTGTTTTCTTAAGGTTCAGCTTTCTAAGATTCCTTCCACCCCATATTATGTGCCATCATCTACTGATCAATAGCAGATGTGCCTATTAATTGAAAATTATTGGCATGGACAGGTGATAGGTAGTAGAGACTACAAGAATTATCTGCGTTTCCTTCCATACTTTGATATACTTAACACTTTTTTTTTTTTTTTTTTTTTTTTTTTTAAGAGACACAGGGATTCTCTCTGTTGCCCAGGCTGGAGTACATTGGCATGATCATAGCTCCCTGGAGCCTCCAGCTCCTGGGCTCAAGCAGTCCTCCTGCCTCAGCCTCCCGAGTAGCTGGGACTACAGGTGCGCACCACCACGCCTGGCTAATTTTTAAATTTTTGTTATTGTTATTATGTTGCCCAGGCTGATCTTGAACTCCTGGGTTCAAGCGGTCCCCTCAAAGTGCTGGGATTTGAGAGAATCGCTAAGTGGGGGCTACCATGCCTGGCCCTATTTAACACTTTTGTTTTTTTAAAAAATGAATTTACTACCTATAATTTTAAAACACAATACCTTTTTGATGTAAATATAGTGTATTAGAGTTTAAAAGAACTATGTATACTTCTGTGTATATGCTTAAATAGTTGTATATGTTTTAAGAATTTGTTTACTTACAAAGGTTTAAAAGCTTTATTTAAGTAGTGTAAAAAGGACTGAATGTATGTAAGAGAATGTATGTAAGAATTCAGAATAGGCAGAAGTGCTAATGAAATACCAGTTAGAGAAAAGATCAAATATACCCTGAAACTGAAATGAATCTCTACAGTGCTACAGCTGAACATAGAACGTGGGAAAGAGAATGACTGGAAATGAGTGAAATGCCTCATACTGATGATAGAGAAGCACTAGATGTGATTAATCCACAAGCTGACAACAGCTGAAGAACATATCTAAAAATACGTGTTCCGCCTGGGAGCCCTGCGCGGCCTCTGATGCTTCCCTCAGATCTCTCACCTCTCCTTCTGTCTGACCAAACACGCCTTTCAGAGTCAAAATAATAAGACAGTTTCTTATGCCTCTAATCCTTTCAATAACCATTAACAGATCACAGGAGCAGTCTTTTGAATCTGATCATTGGACCCGTTAGGTGTTATCTGAGACGAACAAGATTGTCATTTGGGTTGACAAAGAAATACATGAATAAATGTATAAAATGCTGCAGTGTTTTATTAAGGTCTGCCAGAAGAACCCTCTATGTGATGCAGGGTAGCTAGTATTCCTGGCTTCCAGTACTATCGAACCTTTGTCTCCTGTGTTTTCATAAATGTGTCAACAAAAATGTGAATCAGTAGTCACTGTCTTTTCATCATCATAACTCAGGAATCTGAGATTTTTTTAATTTAAAAAATTTTTCTGCATATGAATGCCAGGTCATATGAGCTTTATTTAAGCTTACCTGTTTACAATTTGTTTTGCATTTTTTGGACTGTTGTTATGTTAGAGTTCTACACATATCTTATTCCTGATTGTAATTTACTATTACATAATTATTAATAAATACCTTTGCCTCCTGTGAGGCAGGTACATTTCTAATAAGCATTTTTCCTACGTCACCTCTGATCCTTACAACAATCTTTCAAGGTATAACTGTTCCTACATTATATATTAGGAAACGGAGGTTCAGAGAGGGTAGGTGACCTGGTCATATCTGAGAAGTGATATAGCCATGTACGACTCCAGGTCACTCTGACTCAAAGCCCATTTACCTCTTACTTGGTTTCAGGGAGAACTGAGTGGAAACAGACCTGATAATAGAACAGATGAGTATGTGAAGCCTTATGCAAAAGAAACCCCAAACTTCCATCTTGGATAGCTAGACCCTTAAGACAGACTTTAACACTTTACTAAGGCTTTATCAGCTTTTCACCAGTATGTGGTGTTTTTTAAATGTTAAATTCACTGTTTCAGACTTCCTCCCCTCCTCCTGCCCCTTTGATCTTCCAGGCCCTCAGTACCGCCTAGAGAAGCAGAGCGAGCCCAATGTCGCCGTTGACCTGGACAGCACTTTGGAGAGCCAGAGCGCATGGGAGTTCTGCCTGGTCCGCGAGAACAGTACGTTGGCCGCCTCGCTCCGTGCCCGCTTTGTCCGTTGCAAACTTGCTTAGAAGTCATGTGTTTGGAAACGCTCACTGATCTGGTTTCCCTAGGCAGATTTGAAGTGACTGTTTTCCAAGGCAGACTGCAGTCTTCGTGCCAAAAGTATATTCCAAAGTGAAATGATTGATTTTGTGCTTTTTGGTAGAGAGGCTGCATCCTGTTTAGCACTTTGTGATTAATATTTTCCTGTTAAACTGTGTCTTCCTAAGTTGGGAGCATCCCTGGAAACAGCTTAGAAGTATGAGGCCTTTTCTGAAGCAAAGGCTATTTCGTATGTAAAGCAACTGGCCCTGTCAGTATCACTATTCAGACATCAGGTTTTAGAGAATTTTAACCATTTGCTTATTCTAGCAGGAGGCAGTGTAGTGATTCCTTATGCTATGTTGAGAACTTTAAAACTTGTTAACTTTGTTCATTCTCTCTTCAGAGTTTCCAAATTGTGCATTTGCCATCCTCTCCTCCATACTCCCACTGACATAAGGGCAAGTGACGTGTGAAACTGCGCTTGCGGCAGCAGACTGTCTGTAGTCATTCCTGCTTCGGGGCTTTTACACAGACTGTTTCTTCCACCTGGAACGCTCCTTCCCCCATTCTTGTTAATAACTCTTTCTCATTCTTTGTCTCAGTTTAAATGTCCTGTCTTCAGAGGCCACCGTGATCTTCCTGTCCCCCATTGCTTAAAACTGATCCACCCCTCATTTGAGTTCCTCATTGTGTTCTGCCATACGGCATACTACTTTTTCTCCAGTGCATGTGTTTCTATCTATTCATTTATTTATTATTCTTATTTTTTAGAGATGGGGTCTTACTGTATTGGCCAGGCTGCTCTCAAACTCTTTTTTTTTTTTTTTTTTTTTTTTTGAGACGCAGTCTCGCTCTGTCACCCAGGCTGGAGTGCAGTGGCACAATCTCAGCTCACTGCAACCTTCGCCTCCCAGGTTCAAGTGATTCTCCTGCTTCAGCCTCCCGAGTAACTGGTACTACAGGCGCGTGCTGCCACGCCCGGCTAATTTTTTGTATTTTTAATAGAGACGGGGTTTCACTGTCTCTATGGTCTCTATCTCCTGACCTCGTGATCTGCCCACCTTGGCCTCCCAAAGTGCTGGGATTACAGGTGTGAGCCACTTCGCCCAGCAGTTCAAACTCTTGGCCTCAAGCAATCCTTCTACCTTGGCTTCCCAAAATGTTGGGATTACAGATGTGAGCCCCTGCACCCAGCCCGTATTTAGCATTACATATTTTTCTCAGTGATTGTTTACTTTCTCTCTCCCCTGCTAGATTGTCAGGTCTGTGACGGTGTCCCTGGCCCATACCAAGTTACCCTTCATATAGATCTGCTATAGACTGTGTGCTGCAGGACCTCAGTAAACATGGATTGAATGAGTGAATGGATGATAGGTCTTTACTCACGCCACTGACCCTCTCAACAAGATCAGGCTGCTTGCTTGCTCTTTGTTTTTTTTTTTGTTTTGGTTTTGGTTTGGTTTGGGGGTTTTTTTGAGACAGAGTCTTGCTCTGTCGCCCAGGCTGGAGTGCAGTAGTGTGATGTAGGCTCACTGCAACCTACACCTTCCAGGTTCAAGCAATTCTCATGTCTCAGCCTCCCAATAGCTGGGATTACAGGCATGCACCACCACTCCTGGCTAATTTGATTATTTTTTTTTTATTTTTAGTAGAGATGGAGTTTTGCTATGTTGGTCTCAAACTCCTGGCTTGGCCTCCCAAAGTGCTGGGATTACAGGCATGAACCCTCACACCAGCCTAAGATGCTACTCTTTGACTCGGGCCCCAGACAGCCTGTTCTGCAGAGCATGCACAAAATTCACCAGGAAGGTGAAATATGCTTTTGGCATTTGGCTGCAAATTCTCAAAGGCAGAAGGTTGCTGTCCCCACGGTCTGCAACCAATTATAAGTACCTTATGTGAATACACATAGAAATAAAAATCACTGAGTCCCAAATGGTCCAAAAAATTCAAATGAGTAGTAAACATTTGTGAAAATGTTTATCCTTATCAACATTGTAAAATACAAACATTTTAGAGCCACATATCAAATAAGCCAGGTATTTCAAAGGGAGTCCTCATTGCTGGAGAGAATATAGAGAAATAGGCACACTCAAACACTGGGGTCTGTAGTGTAACAGTATAATATAGCTGGAAATATCAAAAGACCTAAAAATGTTTTCTCCAGTATATCTGTTTTTGGAAATTATCTTAAGGAGGCCGGGCAGGGTGGCTCTTGCCTGTAATCCCAGCACTCTGGGAGGCTGAGGTGAGTGGATTACCTGAGGTCAGGAATTCGAGACCAGCCTGGCCAACATGGCAAAACCCCGTCTCTACCAAAAATACAAAAAAAAAAAAAAAAAAAAAAATTAGCCAAGCGTGGTAGCGGGTGCCTGTAATCTCAGCTACTCAGGAGGCTGAGGCACGAGAATTGCTTGAACCCGAGAGGCAGAGGTTGCAGTGAACTCAGATTGTGCCACTGCACTCCAGCCTAGGCAACAGAGTGAGATTCCATCTCAAAAAAAAAGAAAAGAAAAGAAAAAGAAATGAAAAGGAGAAAAAGATCTAAAATGCAAGAAAGATTTATGTACAATGTTTTAACAACATTATTTCTAATATCTAACATTGGAAGAGTAATCAGATAACTTATATCCCTATATTGGAAAATTATGCAGCATTTTACCTTTCTAGTAAAGGCAGACTAAGTACTTTGAACTAACTCTCCCGCTGAAGGTAACTTAAAAAGCTGATTAAAATAAAGAAATGGCCATCCTAAAGTCATCAAAGAGTACAAGATAGAAAAGAATCAATGACCATATCGGGGAAAAGATTGAAACAGAAGAGATCAACGCCTGCAAGCACTTTCGCCCTGACATCATTTGCCTGGCTGGCAGTGGCAGCTTAAAGGTTGAGCTGGGTTGTTGATAGCCTTTAGAGGAAAGGGGACAAAAGAAGTCCAGGGTTTGCCAGGGGTAGAAAGCCCAAAAGGAGAATAAATAGAAAACAGGTAGTAAGATGAAGATTTAAACCCAGATATATCAGTAAACGAACTAAAGGCTTTAGTAGTAGTGGTAGTAGTTGTTGTCTTTAAGATGGTTAGGATGGGTTTTTCTCAAATACCTAAAACAAGGATACTGAACGTTTGAAGTAAAAGGATGGAGAAAGATGTTCTATGCAAATAGCAACTGAAATCTGGTGTAGCCATATTAACATGAGGCAGAATACATTTTTAGATATAAAAACCATTACTTCATAATGATGAAAGGTTCAGTTTACAGTTCTAAACCTATATGCCTCAAAATATGTAATACAAAACTGAAGAATGACTAAGAAAAATATACAGATCTCCAATCATGGAGGAAGATTTTAACTCTCAGTAATTGAAACAGCAAATATATTTTTTAAAAATGTATAGTAGAGAAAATTTAAAACAACAGTTAAACTTAACCTCATGGACAGGTGGTACAGAGAATATTTTACCCTACAACTGCAGATACGTATTTCTTCCAATCACACATGAACGTTTCCCAGTATTGACCTTATACTATGCAATAAAGTAAATCTTACGTATCAAAAGATCGAAATCATGTGTGATACATTCTCTGATCACAGTGAAATTAGGCTAGGAAAAAACAAGACAACTAGAAGATCTGCATATGTTTGGAAATTGAGAAACAGGTTTCTGAACCCATGGTTTAAAAAAGAAATAATAATAGAAATTAGAAAATATTTTGACTGAAAGATAATGAAAATTTGACATTAAAATTTGAGGATATAACTAAAATAGTATTTGAAGGAAATTTTACAGCCCTCTAATTCAAATATCACAAAAGAAGAAAGGCTGGGCAGGGCGCAGTGGCTCACGTCTATAATCCCAGCACTTTGGGAGGCCAAGGCCGATGGATCACCTGAGGTCAGGAGTTCGAGACCAGCCTGGCCAAAATGGTGAAACCCCGTCTCTACTAAAAATATAAAAATTAGCCAGGCATGGTGGCATGTGCTTATAATCCCAGCTACTAGGGGGGCTGAGGCAGGAGAATTCTTTGAACCTGGGAGGTGGAGGTTGCAGTGAGCTGAGATCGTGCCACTACACTCCAGCCTGGGCAACAGAGCAAGACTCCATCTCAAAAAAAAAAGAAGAAGAAGAAAGGCTGAACAGTAATGAGCTAAGCATTCAGCTCAAGTAATTGAAAAAAGAAATAGAAAAAGAAACCTGAAATGAATGAAAGAAAAGAAGCAATAAAGAGAAGAATAGAAATTAATGAAATAGAAATTCAGAAACATCAGAATCAAGAGTTGGTTCTTTGAAAAGACTAACAAAATTGATACACCTCCAAGGAAATGGATAAAAACAAGGAAGAGAAACACAGATAGTAATAGGAATGAAAAGGAGGTACACTGCAGATCCTGTCATTAAACAGTAAGATCCTGTCTTGTAAATAAATACAAGATTATTTTGAAAAAATTTATACCAAAAATATTAAAATTATAGGTGAACAAATTTATAGAAAAAGACAACAAAATTGACACAGGAAGAAATAGAAAACCTGAATATTCTCATAACTATTTTGAAAAGCAAATTAGTAATTAGGAACCTTCCTATAGTGAAAATCCAGACCCACATGACTTCACTGGCTAGTTTCTACCAAAAATTTAAGAAAAAAATAACTCCAATCCTATATCCGCTTTTGCAGAGAATAGAAAAAGAGGTTATTACCTCCAATTTATTTTAAGAGGCTATCATAATCTTGGTACCAAACTCAGTAAAGACCATATAAGACAGCAAATTTTCAGGCCAGTCTTAATATAGATGCAAAAATCCTAAACAAAATATTAATAAAGTGAATCTAACATTATATTGAAAGAACAATGTAACATTACCAAGTTGGGTTTATCTAGCAGTGCACATTTGGTTTAACTGTGATGTAATGTTAAGGGGAAAAAATGTCAAG